ACTTTCACGTGAGTATAGATTAACAAGGTTGTTAATTTCTTTATGATAAAGAGGTTAAATTCATTACCAAAATTAAAAACCCTATATCTGGAATCTGTCAAGGGATAAACAAAATCTGAGTTTTTATGAAGTCAATTCAAAACATTAATGTTTGTGGATTTGTTGATATTAAGGTTAACATGTCAGAAAAATAAGCTCATGGAAATTTAATAGATTTTGATAAAAATTGATGAAATATATAATTGAAAAATCGTAGATTTCGTTAAATACATGGTTAAAATTCATTGTTAATTTTGACTTAAATTAAAATATAAATTTCAATCCCTACCAAATATGAGCTAAATTTGTTTCCACCAAATTATAACATTTTGTATATAAAGAAAAATTAAAATGTAATTTATTATTTTCTCTTCTTGGAAGTGAGAAATTTATTTGATAATCTTGAATTAAATGTGTCACTATCCCATTATTATTATTATTATTATTATTATTATTATTGACACATTGCAGAATTTATATAAACTTAAATTTTTTAAATTAAGTGCAAATAGTTGGTAATGTTTATGTTTGATGTATAAATCTGGAAGGAGGCAAGAATATCGTGACATAGTACGAGAAATAATGTTAAATATTCATAGTTAAATTGTTCTCTTGCGTGATATCTTGTTAAAATTCATCTTAAATTATAATGAGAATAAACAATACCACTTCAGTACCTAAGAAGAGATTTAAAACAAATTAAGTACAGTCAAAATCAATATATAATTAGGAACCACGGCAACATCTACATCTAGTAATTGTATCTAGTACTTAAATTTGTTAATTTAAACTTTTAATAGAAACTTACATTTCGAAATTTGTCATTCAATTAAAATTATGTGCCTCCCAGATGAATATCAATGAAAATCATGATAATTTTAAATTCAAAATACATATAAAAAATTGAACATTTGGAACATTTCGATTGAGTAGAAGAGCTGTTTGCAAGTAATGTTCGATCAATTAGGACCAATAATTCGCCAACCTACCATTAATTTTGAGTATGTGTATAATAGTATGCCAATGCTCCTCTCTTGTCAAGAAATCTTTCTCTACCCAAGTTTGGGTTTTCTTTACATAACCATCATATACCTTGCAATTGTAATTCAACTTGCTCTAGTCACTATTTATAGAGTTAAAAAAAAAAAAAAAAAAAAGAAGAAGAAGAAGAAGAAGCAAAAACTAGGATGTTATAGCCTAATTATGATAGATAGAAGAGATAGCTATAATCTTGGGTTATATTATACGCATCATATGTTTAACCAAGTTTCTTACCAAAATAAGATATATACACTATGTAAAATACAATTTTCTTATTAAAAATAATATTTTTAAAAAGTTAACTCATAAAATATGCAAATATGTTATATTACACAATATCTAAATTAAAAATATGCACAAAAATATAATTTCCTTTTAGTTCTTTGTCTGCTATTTGTGAACAAGCACCCATTATTCATTGACCGCGCCTTTTGACTTTAATCCTAGATCACGACTCACCCTTCGTGAATTGTTGGTGAACCTTGCAAGAAACATTTAGGTTTTCAATATATTAGATTATCACTTATTTGATCACGCCTTTTGACTTTGATCTTAGATCACGACTCACTCTTCGTGTATTGTTGGTGAACCTTGCAAGAAACATTTAGGTTTTCGATACATTAGATTATCACTTATTTGTAAAGTAGCTACTCAAAATTTCACTATTCTTTTTTATTTCTCATCAAAATAACATCAGCGTATCATTGTATTTAAATATTTCATGTGAAAAGTCAAGACCCCAAAACTCCAAAAACATCATGAATGAAAGAAGATGTTTAAAAGTGTACCTTTTTTTTTTTTTTTTTTTTGGATAAAGGGAAGTCTATTTTAACACATCCACACCTAAATGTGCACCTATTGTAGCATATTGTTTTGATTATGTTGTTCTATAGAGAATGGGAACTATCATATTCTCGTTGGAAACAAATAATGACTAGCCAAAGTCAATTTGAATAGGATGATGTCCAAACTAATATTTATATTTTCAATACATCCTGAATGTAACATTTATTTTTATAATGTTTGATATATGGAATTCACTTAATAAATGATGAGCGCGGGACTTAAAAATTTTGTGATATTAATAGATCGATTACATTAATGAACTCTTGATACGAGAAAGCCTCCATAGTAACGCCAATTAAGTGAAGATGACTATTTCATTTGATGGAGCAATTGTTGGAGATAAATGAACAAAATATTGGACTACCTTAATAGGTCAATTTTTTGAAATACGATATTAAGTCTCAATTTATCATACGAAACATACCAACAAAGTGTATGTCGACTCTGATACAAAGTAACGTACTTTCCATGTGGTAAACAAACGAGGGCCTAATACTATTTTTTGAGAAGCAATACAAGACCTTAATACTTTGCATTTATCCAACTAATGCCAATCTTTTTGCATTTAATTACGTATTACTATATCCTTATGACATGTTCAATAAGTTAGATTGAATTATATTAATATATAAAAAGGGGAAAAAATTAGTCTGCTATTATCGAATCCTTTGTGAACGTGCCAAACACGCCCTTAGCTAATAACATAGATTAAGGTAAAGAAGCAACCTTTTTAGACTTATTTTCTCTATGTTCCCACCCTTCTTTTGTGAGCTACAAGTGTTGTCTTTCTTTAAAGTGAAAACCATGATGAAACCCTTGTGCCTTTGTCGTGTGTCTTAATTTGAATACTCTTTGAAGCTCAAGGGATCTCTTTACCATAAAGAAAATCAGAATGTCCAGATGTTAATGTCTTTTCTACTATAATTATGCATACTGCTTTTATTAACAAAAACTAATCGAGTCTTTGGTTTCAAACTTTTGCTTAATTAATCTGATAACTTCTTGTCTTGAGTTAAAATTGTTTACCATTAGGCCTTTCAAATAAGTTACTTTTAAGCCGGCATTGTAAATTTGAATTCCCTTTTTTGTACTTTAATTAAAATCGATTATATAAATCACATTTCGTCATTCTATAAATCTACTCACAATATTAGAGCTAAATCCTTAACTATAACAAACAAATTATTCTTACTACTAATATCTCAACCTAAATTGCCTCTCTTATGAATATGAACCTCTTTAGATCAGCATACATACAACTCTTGGACGAGTTATCTTATCAATAATTTCATCTTAGACCTAAAATCTTAATCAGATTAGAAGTGTCAAAATGTATCGAATTGTCCATTAGCAGCCTTGCTTGGCCCCACCCTACATCTGGCTGTAGACATTTACAATTGGCTCCTTTCACACAAGATTTGGCAGTTGATTCTAAAAGTTAAGATGGCTCTAAATTTGTTGATGCAATGTTTCAGCTGTGAAACAAGTAAAGGCAACACAAATGTTGTCCCGTACAGACAGCAGGAATCTATAAACATAGATTATTGTTGGCCTTGGCAGTACAAGAAGATAGACTCCTTCAAAGTGACACTTCTCTTCACATATCCAAAAGCAACCTGCCTAAATTTTTTGGCACGGCAACTTTTGGACTCGACTTTGAATCAATTCTCTATGCTCGTAGAGACATCAACTCGGAAAGTTTCATGGAGAAAGAAAACGTCTCATCTAAATCACCACCCTCCTTTCAAGTATGAAACCACATGATTTTATGCACAAAATAAAGCTATAGATCATGGTGTCGTTGAGGATACAAATGGAGGGAGAAACTCGAGATCAATTTGACAGTTGATAGTACTCGTTTGATATTCTTAAATTGATGGCAATTAGAAAAGTACAAATGGAAATGATCAGGTTCCAAAAATAAGCAATTCCTCTCCAAACTGACTATTGTGATTTTATCTAGAATATACAGCTGAATATCAACCATCACCAAACAGATGACAATTTATGAGAGAAAGCCTTTAAAAGCAGCAAGAGTAAAGAATTTACAGAGAATGTGGATTACTTTTCATGACCGTCTTGAGGGTGGTCGATCTTGATTATAAGCGGTTGGTGAAGATTTACATCAGGGTCTGCCACAATGGGTAATTGTGGTGATGCGATATCACCATCTAAATCCGCATTTTCAGCCAACGCTTTGTCTAAAGCAGCTTTTGCAACTCTAGTTACACAAATCATTAATACAACTGCAAGCAGACCGGTTTGAAAAGTGAGTTTCCGCATGATAAGGTACCAAAGTTAGAATGCAGTACAAAAACTGCAGAATCAGGTAGCGGAATAAGTAAAAAAGTATTCAAGAAACCGACAAATTTAAAGAAAAAACAGCAGCTCCCAAAATGACTAATGAAATCTATGCAGACTGTAATGTCCAGAATGTAACGTCCGCTTATGTTTTCCTCAATTCTCATAATCCTTAGATACTATGAAATAGTCAGTATAATTGTTTTTGTTTTCTTAAGAAAATTAATTAAAACTTGGAATTACCTCATAATGACAAAACCAAATATCTTCGACGATAAAAAATCAGAAGTAGAGTGCTAGAGAGCTTCAAGATCTCTTAAAACTTCACCTCTAACAGAACTTCTCCCAAATTAGGATCTTATGGTCCTCGATATCATCTTTTGTTACTTGGACTGGGTACAGGCATGTGTCCAAATACAACCTCTTAACTTTAAGGTACCAGGATTCAGCAAAACGTTAATATATTATTATATTTTTTTTGTTATATCTAACAAGGTAAAATGATGTCTCTGTCTAACATTTTTGATTTACTTTCTAAAATTACGATCATTACAGAATATCAGAGAAGTGTCTTGTACCATGTCAGAGTGAAAAAATGTGAGATACAGGTACATCATGTTTTTAGAAGAGTGGAGCAACATTGGATTTTCAAAGGAGATGAATATGATATGGAAGTTTACGACACCAAACTTGGATTGGACAATAGTTTTCCAAAAGATCTAGGAAAATAAGCAGACATCATTCCCAAGTTACTTATTTTGGTCAGGAGATTTGTGCCAAGTATGAGAACTTGAAATGATCACTAAATATCCACTTGAGACTTACCAGATACCACAAGTCCCAACACAATAAATGCCTGCATCAAAGAAGAAGCTCATATCAGAACTAGAGGAATATGGCAAAAAGATGAGTGTGTTAAAACAGAGATGGAGGCCTTCCATCACTTGAATGGCCAGACTACAAATGATGAATTACCGAATAGAAAATACACCCCAAGGCTCTTACCCAACGGGTTTTGGAGAATTCATTCCATCCATGCGTTATATCAGAAAGATCCTTCAAAGTTGTCCCAACATATACCAAGGCAAGAGTAATTGGCTTCACAAAGAACAGTAGGGGAATCAACAGTAAGGTTAACTCAGCCGAACAATTTAGCAGGAATTTTTTTTTTAAAATTAAAGGGTAATTTTTTTTTGGGTGCGTTTACACCTTAAAACCCATAAATTCTGTACTGTAATATCAGTAAAGAGTTCTTAAAGTACATGTTTTTTGGGTGGCGTTTACACCTTAAAATCCATAAATTCTGTAATGTATTATCAGTAAAGAGTTCTTAAAGTGCATGTACATACCATCATTCCCAACCATGAAGCTAGCATGTATTGCCCTATCGGGACTGGAGTCACGGATAAGAGGTAGTTCAACATGTTAAATGGAAGTAAAGGAACGAGCCGGAGCAGTAACACTATCTGTTGCAAGAAATGAGAAATTCAATTAAGTAAACTTGACCAATATGCACGTATAGATAATGTATATAAAAATTAGAAATCAATAAAATCAGACTAGCAATCAGCCAGTACTAGTACCACACACAGAATACAGGACTAAAAGAGAACAGATAGACCTTAAATCCAGATCTCTGAATTGCAACTGCAACTGCCCGGAACTGTGGATAGTCTCTTAACTTGGAAATAACAAATGACCTCCCAATCTTCATTGTTGAAAAAAGAAGATAATATAAATGAAGATTTAAAAGAAAATACACTTTTTCGAAGGCTTTTTACCAAGGGTATCCAAAAAGAGGAAAAACAGTTGGGGAAAACAAACAATTATATTTGAACCTTGAGCAGTAATCAGCAAGATAACAGATGCCGCTATTAGATTTCAGAAACTTACTGTTCTGCCAAGAAGAAATGCAGCCCCGGCACCAATGACAGCACCAATGGAATCAGCAAAAAAACCCACTGGCAAACCAAAGAGGTAACCACCACCAAGCTGAAAGATACACCACGGTCCAAAAGGTTTCAGTTTTACACAAATTCAAAAAACAGAGAAAATTCCAGTTCCATATGACGATGTTCACAAAACACTTTGCAGAAACTATATCACAAACTCTTGAAATTTAAGCACCACATCATTACAATCTTAATTTTCAATATAGCTTGCCCAGCAAAAAGAAGGTGCATACGATGATTAACATTCCTTCCCTTCCCACATTAACCTCAAAAAGAATAGGAGCTTAAGTTTAATGCTGGAACAACTATAACTACAGGACACTGCTATAACTAGTAAAAAGCCATATTAGTTGAAACATGCAGTGTGAATCAAGCATAAAGTAACTGCAAGAAAAATAAAGGATGGATATCAATCAACAAAACTGAATTCTTTTCATTTCGTAATTGCCATCCAAAATATCAAGGGGTAAGCCCAAAAAAAAAAAAAAAAAAAAAAAAAAAAAGATGAAGAAGAAGAAACCACGTCAATGCCTGTTAATGAAGTCTTGAATTTGAAAATGCAGTTTTTTCAAAAATATACGAGAAAGAACTGACATATTAAGAAGAATGTTAATCCTTACCGTAAGTATTGAAGCTGGAACTGCCAATACTGTTAGGGGAATGTATGCAACAGCTCTGCAAGGTTCATACTACATGTGTGAGTCAGGATGATATTCGTATCTATAAAAATTTGAGACATTTCATAACGAACTTAATTGATAATGTGTTGTATAGCTGTACAGTAACTTGATTTTAATGACACTCAAAATCCTAAGAGCATATTTGGGTGCCTTATGATAAAAAATAAGCTCCAAATAATTTGCTTCGCTGAACAGCAACAGAGACTAAATTATTTCGTGACAATAAACTCTCTAGACTTCGAGATGAACAAAGTTCAATGACACACGGTCTAAGATAGCTCAATACATATACTTAGCTCACAACTTTTTAAACTGTACATCTCCGTCATGAGAATGAAGAATAAAAAAGAGAAACTCCTGACTTTGCCTCTGTTTTGTCCCCGTTCTCAAAAAATCATTTTTGCTCATAATCATTTTCAATTACACATTTTATGAGACCCACATCTTTTATCAACTTGTCAACCACACATTTCATCATTTTTTATCAAAATCTACTAAAACTCTAATTTTCATCTAGACCAAACAGGAACTTTATTTTCACATATAGATGGAAGATATATACCAGTAGAATCTTGACTTAGGCTTTCCTACACAAAGTGACTACACGCAAAACCCTATTCTATGGCATTATACAAAATCATCCTCCATTTTGACTATTAACTGACATGACAACTGAAGTATATCAGCAATCTCAAGTATAGTAGTTAAATCACACTTTTTATTTTATTTATTTATTTATTGAGATCTCAGCAGAAGATAGAAAATATAAAAGAATGTCAATTCAGAAATGGGTATGAAAGAAACACTATCGTAGTTATGTGGGTAAACATACACACAAGTTCACACAGAGTCCCCATATACAACTGTAGAATTTAATTCTTTGAAAGAAATATAAATTCCCTGATGCAATGTGAATAATGAAGGTGCCTTTTCTATTTCTCCTTTTCTACTTCCAAATTTTTTTAGCAAATAAAGCAATTATGATCTGTATTCATCCTCTCATCTGCCATATATGATCAATGATTTATTGGTTTCCACTTCTCAGACACATTGCATGATATAAAGACTTGATAGTGTCGGTGCACAAAAACCATACTTACAGCACAAGAGGACCCCAAGGACCAAGATCATGCTCAATCCATGCTAAGAAATCCTTCAGCATCTGCACATCGCAACTCTTTCAGCAACAGGATAACTAAATCACTCATTCATTTAAAACCAATTTTAGCGCAAGGCTTGCTCCTAAGATAATTGCCTTTCAGTAGTTATGTCTTTAAGTGATTTATATATTTTTCAAACTCAACCAACCATCTTCAAATAGCGTGATCAATTGAGACCAAATAATCATCTGTACAATATGCATCCGAAGAGATAATAGATCTTTCTCTAATCTGGTAAACTTGCCTTTATTTTCAAGAAGGAAAAATTAACAAGTGCTCAACCACAAAAAATAAAAGGTCTGCACTTATTCAACCAATTGAAACAAATAAACACTGAGATAAAAGAAGAAAGCACATTAATTGCAAACGAATTCATCACCAATTGGCCCCACAGAATTCAGATACTAAGTGATAAAAATATCACTTAAAATAAATCATATCGAAACAGTTAAATTATTTAAAATAAATCATAATTAACATATCCAATAATCCTAACAGGCCAGGTTTAGATCAGAAAGTTTCCAACTAAACACCGAAACAAACAAAAATGTGCAAAAATAAAAACAACCCAGAACCCAAAACCCTTAGGAACAGCCCAAAAGCACCAAAACAATCACCATCAATCAAAATAAAAGAAACATCTCTATCAGAAAACATTTGATGTAGTCCAAGAAAATACCAAAACAAACAAAATTAAGCAACTCAAAAGGGACAGATGGAAAAAATCTTACCTTTTCGACAGGCAGAGTGAGGCAAGCGGTGGCAATGCCCGCGATCAGAAGTAAAAGGAGGGTTATTTTGAAAAAAGAAACCCAACTAAATTTGAAACCCATTTTTATCGAATTTGGGGAGAAAAATGAAAATCTCTTGCTCCAAGGTCTGCACTCCTCTTCTTGGTCCTCTGGTATAGCTTGTTTCAATGACAAGCGAGGCCTCAAGTTAATTCCCCCTAAATTTGCCAGATTGATTTCAAAAAACTATATAGCATGAACAGGAAAGGGGGAAAAAAACAAAACAAAACAAAATTTGAAACTTTAGCCCATTAAGTTCAAAAATCAAAGTGATCTACATAAAAAACAGGTTCTTTAGGTTGTTTATGTGCTTGCGAAAAATATGAGAGACGGGTTTACTATGGGTTCTTACGAAGAGATTTGGATTTCTTTCTTTTTCTTTTTCCTTTGTCTTTCGCTAGATCATTTTTACGCCGTGATTGTGATTGTTCTTTGTTGAGATGCTAAGATACGGTCCCGGGGAAAGAAGGGTTACACGTACCTGTTTCTTGCACCTGCGAGGATTATTTGCAATTTTGGGTATTAAACTTTTTTTTTCTTTACTCTCTTTCAAAGGGTTTTTGGCCTGTTTTGATTGTGAGAATTCATTTTTTTGACTGTTAGAGTGAAATTTGTGAGTAAGTAAAAATAACGATTGAAATAGTGAAATAACGATCAAAAATTTGATTTTTCGGAGTGAAAAATTGTTACCAAGCGATGGCTTAATTTAGGGTTGGGCAAAATAACATGAACAACCAAAGCAAATGAGAATGAAATTGACCTGGCTGATTTATTTATGCTTGGGTCTATTTTAATTTAAACTATATTGATTCTAGAACTAGTTTGTTATCGATCCTTTACAAACGGACCAATTAATCCAATTTTTTTTCGCATCACTATTAGCTTAATTTAAATCACACAAGAGAACATCTTGTACACTTCAAATTCAAAACCCTAATTTCGTCTTTCAAATTTTCAATTTTGTTTTTTGCATTGAATGTGACTTATTTACCGTTCGAATTTTGCATTGCAATAATAATTTGGAAATTTTGTTTAGGGATCGAATCGAACCGAACCAAATCAAATTGGAAAATATTTGGTTTTGATTTGATAGATAGAACTCATGGTTCCATTACAAGACAACCATTTTGTTTTTGATTTCTCTTTTACGTTCCATTTCAATCAAGTTCTCCTATTGCTACAAAAATATTCTCCCTTGGATGAGATAGAGGAAGAAGTAGAAACTAAACTCACCCACTAGTCATAATTACGCGGCTGGGCTAAAAGCCACAATGTTCCACTAGCTTGTGAGCATGAAACATGTGTGAAACTATTTGGACGATGTATTAGTATCATTGAAGCACTAGTTTGATCATGTGGATTAGAGTTTGTGTGGATTTAACGAGATCGTTGAAATGTTATATCTGAGTTTCATTGGTAATTATCTCCTCTCGTCCAATGAGCGACTTTTGGACTTTTGTTAACATTGTGGCATTATTAGACGTAAGTACTACGATTGTGTTAAGAAGAATTCTAGACCGTAGAAACATGGAGAATGGCCGAGAGTCAACATTTAGATGATCGGTGAGGCAAAACAGCATTAATCAATTCAGGCGATGGACATTGATACAGATTTGATGAAATGCCTATAATTCAAGGATTGGCAGAATATATCCTTCCTGCTAAAGACCACCACATAAATTGTTGATCATATTGATTTAGTCCCCTAGTTAACAGGGGCGATCTCTACCTAACCTACAATTTAATCTAAGCTTAGTAGTTCAATTATAGTTTGTTGGATTTTATATATGATCTTATCCCAATAAATTGCTAATAGAATAATGGGACTCATAGAATTTTGAAACGACCGATTTGTCAAAAGAGACAATAAATAATATCACAAATGGATTAATCTATTTGTACAACTTAGATGATAATTTGGATAACAATATTGTGTGTTGTAAAAAACTTAATGACCGCAAAAATAAGTTGATGTGAAAACTGGCAAATAAATTAATGCCACATGTCATGTTGTCAACCGAATTGTAAACAATGATTGTACACCAAGCATGATTCATAAAAAATTAATAGAAAAATGTATAATAATAGTTCGCTTACTATCCCCTCCGGTCTTGTGCAATCAGGAGGAAAAAAAGAGAGTGACTGCCATGAAAATCATGACTTGAGATTTGTTGTCCCAATTCAACTCGTAAAAAAAACACGAAATAACTATATCCCACCCAAAATTTGATTTGTGTTGTGTCCAAATTTGATTTAGGAGACAGCCAAAAGAACAACCGAACATGAAGATGAGTACAATAGATGTGAACTCCTAAATAAAATATCCATTGATGACTTTAAATGTCCATGTAAAGGTGGGATTCCAAAGGCTTGAAAAAGTTTGAAATTATTGTCCATCAATCAATTCTTGTTCATTCTAGTATCCAATCGTGTGTATCGAACATGCACTTGCAAGCTTAGTTATTAATGAATTCAAATACACTTTAACAAGCCTGTATGAAAACTTTTGTTGTCGAATCTAAGAACAGGCATATTTCTGCAAGTCTCATAAATGATAACTCTTTTGAGTTCCAGACAAAACCTAAGTCTATTTGTGTGGACTTCAGACAACTGTTTCCTTGCCAAGGTTCCACCTAAGTAAAAATTATTTGCGGAAAAAAAGGTGAATAAGTCAAGTCGTAGAGGAGCAATGCTGGGGGAGAGTGTCTAGTAATCCATGTGAAGCAATGGAATGTAAACACATTTAAGAATTTTATAACATAGAAAACTCGACTGCAAAAAATATGTGAACGAAATAAATCTCACAACAGATACTACAATGGGAAAAATTCTGAATAACGTATCATCAATCTCAATAGAACTACACGATGATGAAATGAATTCAATGCTCAAACCTTTAATGTAATGCATAACAAATTATTTAGAAAAATCATACAGGAAAACTTAAGAGCACCATATTAACTCCATGGATCATCCCATCCTTTGGGTCCATCTCTTTTTACAAATTCGATTATTGCCTGGACAGCTTCCTCAGCTCTGTTAGATAGAGAATGATTTCCATATTCGATTTCAGCTTTTTCTGCACCATCCATTGCTCTGCACAATCTGGACAAGTTCATAGCACGGATGAAAACATTAGTAAAATTTCGGCAAAAGACAAAATTCAACTTAGAACATATGGAAACAAGTTATACAAAAAGTTATTCTTGCCTATCAACCAATGCTTTCTTGTCCACGTAATCTGGTACATATTCATCAGCCATGGAGAAAATCACCTGCAGAGGGAGAGCACTCTCTCAAAACAAACAAGGTATTGTGCTTGTAAAGACATATTATCAGGTCCTTTTTATACCCTCAATGCTCGAGTTTTTGTCCCCTTATTTACACCTGACACTGCACATCATAAATTCGGTTTGGTTCGAAAGTAGGCCAAAACCATCCAAAGTAGACCCTTTATACACCTAGTAGTGGCCACTATCACCACCTATAGAAAGCCGAAGTTCATTATACAAATCTGAGAAAGCTCTTGCACAAACTTGAAATTCAGCCGATAAATTTAAGCCTATCTCAGAATAAGAAAATCAACATCAATATTTTTGGTTCATCCCCATGCAGTGCACTGCATATCAGTTAACTACTTAGTCAAAAGTAGCACCATGATTTTGATAGACCCCCCGTCATACACATATATTCTAGAAGATCTAAGAAGGTGGAGGGAGCAGATGGGCGGGAACACTAGCAACTGAATTAGTTACACAAACAGAAGTTGTTACCTAGAGGCTTATAAATAAGAGGGTAGGGAGAACTAGTAGGCAGGCAATTAGAAAGTGAGAAAAGGAGTTATTATTAGTTTATAGCCTTCTATAGGCTTCCTGTTTTTTTTAATACGGTCCTGTACTTCAATCTTATTTCAATAAAGAGTTGTTGATTTTGTTCTTCTCAGTGGAACCTTAACATTTGGTATCAGAGCGGCTGATCATGATGGCATAGAAGAAGATGGAGAGCAGAATGGAGACAGTTGAAAAGGATATGGAAGAGGTGAAATTGGAACCGCAGAGGCTACCAGGACTAGAGAAATCTGTGGAACATCTATCCTAGAACATAAACAAGATACTGCAATCTATGGAAGCAACCCAGAGGGCAGTGGCAGCATTAACACCCCTCGATTAGGAACAAATGATCCTCGTGAAGGAGAAGGATCGGAAGCTGCTAAGGAAGGAAAGTCGCCTCGAATCACACCTAGCGATATCACCAGCCTTAAAGACACCAAAGAAAGAGGAAAATGGCCGGAAGTCTATGGTGAAGTATGCTCCGAGGAGGAGAGTGTGAATTCCGGTCCAAACAGGGAAGGCGGTGATTGGCGACGAATCAGAAAATTAGAAATGCCCATTTTCAGCGGAGACAACCCGGATGGATAGTTATTTCGTGCAGAGAGGTATTTTGAAGTGAATGGATTGTCGGAATGAGAGAAATTAGGGGCAATAGCTGTCAGCCTCGATGGGGACGCCCTGTCGTGGCTACAATGAACGGAAGTCAGGGAACCCATTCAAAATTGGGAGCAATTTCGCCGTCGTCTTTTGAGGCGTTTCCGACCAACACAGGAAGGAAATCTCTGTGAAAAATTTTTGGCAGTTCGGCAGGAGGTGATAGTGGCGGAGTTCAAACGAACCTTCGAAGTATTGGCCGCCCCATTGATTGGGCTCTCAGAGGACGTCTTGGAAAGTACTTTCATAAATGGGCTCAAAATTGAAATAAGGGCTGAGGTCCGATTATTGAGGCCTGTTGGGCTTGGAAATATCATGGAAACAGCCCAGCGAGTGGAAGACCGCAATCGGTTACTAAAAACGGCCCAGGCTACTTGGGGGGTCCAAATCTTCAAAACCCATCTATCCCACTTCCGGTTGGGACTCGAAGAAGCTGGATAATTTTCCAACCCGATCAGTGACTGTGGCGGAAAAGCCGTTATCGCTTTGCAGAGAATTTCCGACCAAGAGGTTGACGAAGGCAGAGTTACAGTCCAGAAGGGAGAAGGGATTTTGTTTCGAGTGCGATGAAAAATACATGTTTGGGCATCAATGTAAGAACAAGGAACTTAGGGTTCTGTTAGTCCAGGAGGGTGATGAGGAGGAACCGGGATTCGAAACACAGGAGGAAGAACAACCGGTGGAAGTGGCGGACAAGGTCGAACTATCCATAAACTCTGTGGTAGGGTTGACCACACCAGGAACAATGAAGATGATGGGAAGGATGGGCTCGCGCGCTGTGACTGTTTTGATAGATTGTGGCGCGACCCATAAATTCCTCTCACTCAAGCTGGTCGATGAGTTGGAACTACCTATTACCAACACTACTAACTATGAGTAGTGATGGGTACTGGAGAATCAGTAAGAGGCAAGGGGATTTGCAAGGGGGTGGGCTTGGAAATTCAAAACCTGTGGATCGTTGAGGATTTCCTTCTTCTAGAACTTGGTAGTACGGAGGTGATCTTAGGAATGCAGTGGTTGGGCAGTTTGGGGATGATGGAAGTTGACTGGAAATTATTGACGGTGCGGTTCAAGGTGGGGAACGCAGATGTAACTCTCAAAGGAGACCCAGGGCTCAATAAATCCGGAATTTCACTAAAAACCTTGGTTAAAGTTCTGCAAAAGGAGGGGCAAGGAATATGGTTGGGTAGTCTTACTACCACGAGAGAAGGGGATAATATAAACCTTAACCTACCTGCAGGAGGAGCAAGGGTCATTGAACGCCACTCTCAAGTTTTTAATCCCACAGGCAAGCTGCCTCCAAGCAGAAGTAGGGACCATTCTATCATTTTGAGAGAAGGAGCAGAACCAGTCAGTGTGCGGCCGTATAGATATCCTCATTTTCAGAAAAATGAGATTGAACGTTTGGTGAAGGAAATGCTAACTACAGGACTACTACAACCCAGCACTAGCCCATTTTCAAGCCCTGTATCGATGGTCAAAAAGAAAGACAGAGGTTGGAAGTTTTGCATAGATTACCGAGCATTGAATAAGGTCACTGTTCCAGACAAATTCCCTATTCCTGTGATCGACGAACTACTAGATGAATTGCATGGAGCTTCGGTGTTCTCGAAACTGGATTTGAGGTCTGGATATCATCAAATCGGAGTGAGGAAGGAAGATATCAGCAAAACGGCATTTAGAACCCATGAAGGGCATTACGAATTTCTGGTAATGCCTTTCGGATTGACCAATGCGCCAGCAACATTCTAGTCCCTGAGGAATCAAGTATTTAAGGAATATCTGAGGAAGATTGTGCTTGTATTCTTCGACGATATTCTAATTTATAGCAAAGACCAAGCATCCCATGAGCAGCACCTGGATTTGGTTTTCATGGTTTTGGCATCACATCAACTGGTTGTGAACGCCAAAAAATGCATGTTCGCGCAGCATCAGATAGAATATTTGGGACACTTGGTTTCGGCTCAAGGGATAGCGGCTGACCCAAGTAAAATTGCAGCTATGGACAAGTGGCCCACTCCTTGAAACCTGAGGGAACTCCGTGGTTTTCTAGGTTTGACCGGATATTACCGAAAGTTTGTGGCAGGATATGGAACCATAGCATGGGCCCTCACCCAACAATTACAGAAAGACGCATTTAATTGGAAATCTGATGCAGAGGAAGCGTTCCAAAAATTAAAGAAGGCGATGACCATAGTTCCAGTACTGGCACCCCTGGATTTTTCTCAGCCCTTCATCATAGAAACAGATGCATCAGGTTATGGGTTGGGCGCAGTGCTCATGCAAAATCAATGCCCCTTAGCATACTTCAGTCAAGTTTTATTAGCAAAATCTCAGCTTAAATCTGTGTATGAACGAGAACTAATGGCCATTGTGCTGTCTGTTCAGAAATGGAGACATTACGTATTGGGGCGAAAATTCATCATTCGAACTGACCAGCGGAGTCTTAAGTACCTGCTGGAGCAAAGAGTGATTCTCGTCGAGTTCCAACGTTGGGTGGTCAAACTATTGGGCTATGAATTTGAAATCTAATATCGTCCAGGATCAGACAATAAAGCTGCTGATGCACTGTCCTGGATAGAAAGGCCTCCTGAACTTTCAGCTCTTAGCTTCTCTTGGGTCATCGATGTACAGTTAATAGATGCACAGGTGGAGGCTGATTCCAGATTATCAAAGATTAAAAAGGATTTGCAAGAGGACCCTGACTCTCACCCACGTTATTCACTGGAGCAAGGCAAGTTGCTTTACAAGGATTGCCTAGTCCTTCCCCGATCTTCTTCCGTGATTCCATCCCAGTTATTGGAATTCCACAGCAGCTTAGTGGGAGGGCATTCAGGATTCCTTCGCACTCACAAGCGCATCACAGGTGATTTATATTGGGAAGGTATGAAGAAAGATATAAAGAAATTTGTAGAAGAATGTCCTGTGTGCCAAAAGAACAAAAGCTTAAGTTTACAGCAGGGCAAGAAGTCTTAATCAAATGGAAAGGGTTTCCAGTTTCAGAAGCTTCTTGGGAGTCAGCAACATCCATTTCTAATCACTTTCCGAATCTCCACCTTGAGGACAAGGTGTCTTTCGAACCCAAGGGTAATGATAGACCCCCCCGTCATACACATATATTCTAGAAGATCTAAGAAGGTGGAGGGAGCAGATGGGCGGGAACACTAACAACTGAATTAGTTACACAAACAGAAGTTGTTACCTAGAGGCTTATAAATAAGAGGGTAGGGAGAACTAGTAGGCAGGCAATTAGAAAGTGAGAAAAGGAGTTATTATTAGTTTATAGCCTTCAATAGGCTTCCTGTTTTTTTTAATACGGTTCTGTACTTCAATCTTATTTCAATAAAGAGTTGTTGATTTTGTTCTTCTCAGTGGAACCTTAACAGATTTCTAACTGCCGGTACATAAATAATGCTCTGATTGTAAGTGCTGTATCTGTATGACTATATGCCCATATATATCTTCCAATTGCAGATATATTATGCAGCTCAAATATACCTTGGAACGTGATGTGGTGCCTTCAAATGCAACTAGAAAACAGTATCAATCTTGAGAGCATGTTTGGTTAACCTTAAAAATAAATTGCTTCTAAGAAACTTCTTGTTTTCGAACATGCTCAAATAAGTTATTATTATAATTTTTTTTTTCTAAACTTTCAAAATTTACACATTTCGAAAGTTACACGGTGAATTATAAGTAAATAAATAAAGAAGTATTTATCTTAAAACTTACTATTTTACTTATTAGTGAACTTCTTAAGCTTAGCCAAACATAGTCTAGTTTATCTTAACATCAAAACCTACCAGGCATGGTATGCTGGACATGTGTCCAAGTTTTTGTTTCAACTGGTCTTCGCTAAAGTCAGAACTGAACATGTCATCATCACCATTGTATGCACAAAGAGAATGATATCTGCATAAAAATAGTACCGACAATTAAACAGATTGACGGAAAATCAAATTATACAAAGAATGCCATAACTTACGCACGTTTGAAGTCACATTTCTCTACTCTCACCTATAGGCCGTTATTGGGGAGTCTGGATTGGCTTCCCGAGGCATCAATTCTAATCCTCGACCTTCACTAATCATCATTGAAGCTAAATCAATCATGGAAGCAGTTTCCGGGAGAGTGGCTTTGAATTCCCGGTCGCTCACTGGGGCCTGAATAGTTAATCAATGCATGGTAGATGATGAAATTGAAAGAACAAAATCGAACTAATATAGGCATGCAGTTTGGTATAACACCATTGAAATAAGGGCCAAGATCCACCTCCACGCACCTAAAGTCCCACAGAAAATCATGTTACTGTAAAGAAGGCATCAAATTTCAAAAGCAATGAAATTAATCAAAACTACAAGCAAGCTGGCCAGTTGCTAAGATCCAATAAAGTTTAAGATCCTGACATATCCACCCTGTGAAGAACTTCGTTCTTTGCTTATTTCTTTAATGAATAATAAGGTACTTTTATGATCAATACGCTTTTTATTAGGTTTCATTTTGACAATTACACTTCATTATACCAAGTGACCATTCAAATTAAAATGGTTCCAGATGTGAGATTTACTGTAAAATGCTGGCAGCTAAGTAGTACGAAATTTTCAAACATGATTTTGATGTTCACTTTCCCAAATGTATCTACTGCTAAGTCACAAGTAGGCAAAATCGATTACCCCATTTTTAAGTAGACTTAGAAAATAAGAAGGAAAAAATTGAAGTATAATGGTTATTGGCCAAATTTTGGAACCACTGGTGAGGTATTAAATGGAATTTTTACCCTAAACTCAACACAGATGCAAACTTTAATGTGTATGCACATATGAGTGCATTCATACTTTAATCATTATTGTATGTCTCCAACCAAACACTTCACTGCTAAACAGAATAATAGGCTCAGATACAACATGAAAGTATTATCCTCTTAGTTTTTTAGCAACCTGTATCAAGTTTGAGAGCCATAGGCCCATATTGACTTGTTCAAAATATGTTATCATTTCTTTCACAATACATTAAGTGTCAAATTTTGGTTTTAGCAATTTCAATGTTTTTGCCCTTACCTTTATTAGTTTTCAGCAAATAGTTACCATTTCCCCTTTGTTTCTCAAAAGTTATGCTTAGTTAAATGCACAAGAACACTATGATCGAAACACCGAAAACTCTAAGGCCCTTTTTGATAGGCACTTCTTTTCCATGGAAAATGGAAATTAAATTCCATTTCCCACTTTTTAGCTTGTTTGATGGCAGAATTTTTCCATGGAAATGATTTTCCCAAATCCTTGCCATATTAGATTTTTCTAGCTTTTTGAGGTTGGTGGGAATTGCTTTTCCAGGTTTTTGCCTTTTTCCCCCCCTTTTTTTTGGGCAATTCAAACAAATTTTAGGAATAATTGTAAAAGAGGATATCCCTTGAATTGACAATTTTTATATAAAATAAAACCAAACGAATACTAAAAGATAGATGATTTTTGATTTTTTTTTGGACAATGGAAACAAATTTTAGGAACAATTGTAGAAGTGGATATCCCTTAAATTGACAATTTTCATGAAAAAAGAGTCAAACGAATACCAAAAAACACTTTTATTTCAACATTTTTCAGGTGAAAAATTATATCAATCAAACACTATTAATTAATAATTCTCAGTAAAGCAATATCTAGGCAATTTAATTCTTTGGAATTCATTTTCTTTCCACCCAAATTCCATCTTTACAATCAAACAGATCCTTATAGATAAACATCTTAAAACACCAATTACATGGAAAAGTAACCTGCAAAATGGCAGCACGCACTGCTCTCGAACATGCTGCATTGGTTCGCATGTAATATACGATATCCTACACAGAGGATGAAATGAGTTTTAGCTATATTATGTCCTTATAAAGTGTGGGCTGTGAATGGTCATGTATCATCTGATTTTCTATAGCTCGAATGTAGGTCGTGAATATATTAAATTGTAGTACTAATTACCTGGCAGCCAGTACTATGTCCAAGTAGTACGACGCCTTCAGAATCTTCCTTGTTTATCAAGTAACTAATCAATTGATCAAGCTCCAAAGCATCCTTGAATATACAATGCAATAACATAAACAATTTAGCAGTCAAAGTACAACAACAATAATATTAGAAAAAGCCAGCATTTTGAATCACATTATATCAAGAAGAATAATTCAAGATTCAAATTAATTTCAGACCATGAGGTTGAAACTAACTTTTAATCATTAGCAAATACTAGACTATTGAAAACTTGCACAAATAACATAATTACTTCACCTTTTGTACTATTATATGTTAATTGAATAACTGGCAGGAGTCCAAGAACTGATATAGTAAACAAAAGGTGGATGCTGATTTCTTATTTTGTGTAGGTGAGGTAAAGCTTTTTGTAGATTATAAGTTGTGAATCTTGCGGAATGTGTGGATAAAAAGTCAATATAAGCTGTGAGTCCTAAGGAATGTGTGGATGAAGATGATGTTTGGCCAGCTTATAATCTTAAAAAAGCTTTGCCAAATATATTCTTTATATTTATATAATTTTCCATGTTGGAGTACCAAATAAAATTTGAAAGCAAAATAAGCTTCTTACTTTGCAGTGATATGCACAAACAACATTCAAAGTAATTTTATGCACTAGCATGCAGAGTCCATAGAGATTGTTGCAAAAAAATTAAATAAAATTTTACAAAGTAAATATTAAAATCAAGGTGTCCTCCGTGAAAATATGCATATGGAACAATAGATCAAAAGCAAGAAAGTGAAATGCCTTGCAAAAAGAATAATGTCAATTTACTCTATTAGGCATAATAAAAACTGGAATTGGAAAGAACAAATACTTGTTTCAAACTTGAGATGCCATATCCACTGTATGAAGATGAAAAAAGAAATTGAACTAGTGACCAGCGTTCTTTCTCCAAAGCAATTGCCAAAGGCTCCAAATATCTGGAAAATTTAGAACCACCTACTTTAGGATGAAAAGTACAATCTTATATATTTATCTTTTCATGATGTTTGTGATCTTATTGGATGGAAGAATCAATTTGACAATTTTAATCACCTGAAGCCTGTATGGTTAAATATTTAATGTATAAACAATCATGCAAAAAGGAAATGTGCCTTGTTAAGTGTCTCAAAACGCTGGACTTGAGTACCTTTAATTGCAACTAACAAGGCCCAAGAAAATGTAATTTGTGAATTTTGTAAGTAAAGGCTGTCTCATAATTTTCCCAAATGTCAAAATGGCACTTCAGTAACAAATAAATAATACAAAATTAAATTACACTATGCAATACATGTGTATACTTGATAATTAATAAAATAATAGATGGGAAAGTGTGGCAATGGCTGCAGCGAAGGTCTGAAAAGAGCATGTAAGTCCAAATTAACATCTGGTACAACAAAAATAACAACAGCAAAGTACATCACAACGTACAAGTGAACGTAAAAGTTTGATCCAACGGTTGAAATACATACTCAGATGCCAAAAATCCATCCATCAGTCCACCAATAAAAATAACTTGCTGTTTATAATCTCCTGTCTTAAATGCAACCTGTAGAAATGAAAAATGGAAAAGATAGCAAAAAACTGACAAGTTAGAAAAGAAAATGAAATGTACTGAACCAGTAAATATATCTAATTAATAAACTGGAAAGAATAAAGTCTAAAGTGTAAATATACATTATAAAGAGGATGTAACAGATTATTGCACTTCACTGTTGAAATCTTTATTTCTAGTATACCTTCATTTATGAAATTTTATGGGAAAAGTATTTAAGTTTTAACTGTTCAATACCATTACTCAAATGTACATATCATGGTAATAATTAACTTGATGATTCTGGCACTCTAGGCCAGGGCATGTATTTGCACATCACAGGACATCGTCAAAGTATCCATATGAAAGCACCAATCTTCTAATAGAATGAAGCATTATTATTCTACTAGATTATCAAGCAAAATCAAAGCCATTCATTTCTGTTATTTCATACGCACAAAACAATCTTGCACAGAAAATAATCATTACCGCATTGTTTTACACTTTAAGATATCGTGGATAATTTTGTCAAACATAAAATATACACCCCACACAAATACTTTTTTCTTTCCTCAAGACTATGAAAGACTAATCAAGATATGAATTTAACATTATACATGCATTTTTAATTTGGTTAACCATGACCAAATCTTCACAATCACGATAGATAATCAGGGGGAGTCTCTTAAGTTCATTACAAATCACTGTAGGAAAACACCACCTGCATTGTCAATTGGTAACGTTTGACAAGAGTTTCAACCTAGTAAGTTCACAGTGCTGACTTAAAACTATAAAATTCTAAATCACATTTACCGCAAGCAAAAGATTAAGATTGAATCCCTGTCATGAAATATATATCCACCAAATATTCGGTTTGTTCCAGAAACCATGGGGACAAGGCCTGAACACTAAAGGATACTGCAAAACATGAAATACGACCTAATCACCGTCTAATAGAAGATTTAATCTTGTTTAAGACCAATCCTCATGTTTTCTCAGAGTCACTTAGAATCCATTACAAGAGATTCAATTGCCATTCCATGAAATGAAGCATGTATACAGCTATCAAATCACATTCACTGCAAGCACAAGAATAAGATTGTATCACTAGCAAGATATATCTACACACCACAGTTCTATTTGTTCCCAAAACCATAAGGATGGGGCCTGACCACTGGATGATAATGCTGTAGGAATTGGTTCAAATAATTAACCAAAAATTGGAAAGTGAAAAGGTGTAATTACGTGTCAACTTTGACCAAATATTGGGATTTGATCCGATGGTCAAATTACAAAAATAAATAGACCAACTTATTCTATTCATTGTGTAGATCGTCGTGGTATATTTGAAATCTCGAAACCAATTCCGAATGAATGAGAAATTGCGGACCAAAGTTGGAAGAAATGAAGTATTACAACTTTTCGAAAGGATGCAACTTTTTTGAAAGGATGTATGTTTTAGCCCACACTACTTCATTTACACCCTTTCTACATCTATAAATAGAACCCTATGGACATGATTTTGGGTACACCAATTGCATTGAGCATTATGGACATGGTTTTAGGTACACCAATTGCATTGAGCATTCATTCTCCTCTTACAATTCTCTCAAAAGTTCGCCGGTTTCTTGTGGTTTGAAGTGCTGCTACCACAAGTTGTGAATCCATTGTATCTTGAAAGACAAGTGTCATTCACCGTGAGCATCGTAGTGGGGTAATTTATCTTAAGAAAAGAGATAACGTCTTGCCTTGGATTATTCGATTTCTACTCCTTAATCCTTGTTTTGCGTAATCGTTATACCGCAACTCTGTCCAAATTTCCATTCATATAAATTGTGTTTTGATCACGCTCTTGCGGGTTAAAAATGGTCAAACAAATATGTAAAAAGTCAACCCTTACATAGCCCTTTTTATAAGTCGTCTCCAACAATCTTAAGACAAATTTTTTGCGTCTTTGTGGTTGGTTGTGGACAATCATTAATTTGTTTGAATAGTGCTTTGCGTACTATTTCTCCACCGATATTATCATCATTTTGTTGAACTTCTGTTTGTGTAACAGAATTAACTATCATCGGGATTTCGTCAAGTCAAAATGATTCCAATAATGTGGTACAACCCGTGGCCATACCGTTGGATAATACTACTATCCCACATGGGGATAAGCTGGAAAAATTTGCAGGAGTAGACTTCAAGAGGTAGCAACAAAATATGTTTTATCGCACCACTCTTAATTTGACTAAATTCCTAAAGGAAGCTGCATCATCTGTACAAGAAGGGGAAAATAATCGTGAATCGATTATTGATTTGGATGTATGGAAACACTCGGACTTCCTATGCAAGAACTATATCTTAAATGGATTGGATAATACACTATATGGGGTGTATAGTTCAAAGGAATCACCTAAGGAACTATGAAATTCTTTGAAGAAAAAGTACAAGAACGAAGATGCCGGAACAAAGAAGTTCATTGTTGGCAAATTTTTGAACTACAAGATGGTGGATTCCAAAACCGTAATTAGCCAAGTGCAGGAGATTCAAATCTTGTTGCATGACATCCATGCCGAGAAAATGGAATTGAGTGAATCATTCTAAGTGCTTGCCATTATTGAGAAACTCCCTCCTATGTGGAGAGATTTCAAAAATTACCTCAAGCACAAACGCAAGGAAATGAATTTGAAAGAATTGATTGTGTGTTTGAGGATTGAAGAGGACAATCGGAAAACCGAACGAAGACCGGTTGATCAAGATGGTGCAAATTTTGTTGAAATAAAACTAAATGCAACAACCAAGAAATAAAAGGCTCCTAATTATGCACTACGAAGAGACAATTTCAAGAAGGTTAAAAAGTTCAAAGGGAATTGTTACAACTGTGGCAAGGCTGAACATCGTTCAAGTGAATGTCGAAAGCCAAAGAAGAACACTCTATCCGATGGATTGCAAGAAATGAGTTTATCTGCAGTAGTGTCTGAATGCAACATGATTGGAAATACTAGAGAATGGTGAATTGACACCGGTGCTACCCGCCATGTGTGTGCGGACAAGGGGATGTTCTCCAACTACCAAGAATTGAATGGTGAACAACTATACATGAGAAATTCTGCAAGTTCCAAAGTTGAAGGACAAGACAAAGTCACTTTGAAGATGGCATCCGGGAAAGAACTCTTCCTCGACAATGTCCTACATGTGCCGGATATACGAAAGAATTTAGTGTCCGAGTCTCTATTTAGCAAGAATGGTTTTAAACTTGTATTTGTATCCGATAAATTTGTGTTGTCTAAGAATGAGATGTATGTAGGGAAATGATATATGTGTGATGGAATGTTTAAGTTGAACGTTCTTGCAATTGTACCGAAACAAGTAGTTATGAATAAAACTATAAATTCCGTTTACTTGCTTGAGCCTTCATGTTTGTGGCATAATCGATTAGGACATGTGAATTACAAATCGCTGCGCAAACTAATGAATCAAAGTTTAATTTTGGCACATAAAATCAATCCTAATTATAAATGTGAAATATGTGTTGAAGCAAAATTGGCTAAAACATTGTTTCATTCAATACAAAGGAACACAACCCCTCTTAAATTGATCCATAGCGATATATACGATCTAAAATTTGTACAAACTCGAGGTGGTAGGAAATACTTTGTGACATTTATTGATGATTATACAAAGTTTTGCTATGTCTTTCTTTTGAGAAGTAAAGACGAAGCCTTAGATGCATTCAAAACCTATAAGGCTAAAGTTGAAACACAACTTGAAAAACGAATAAAGAATATTCGTAGTGATAGAGGAGATGAATATGGAGCACCGTTTGAAGACTTTTGTTCTGAATATGGAATTGTTCATCAAACAACGGTACCTTACTCTCCTCAATCAAACGGTGTTGCAGAATGCAAAAATCGAACACTTAAAGAAATTATGAATGCCATGTTAATAAGTTTGGGTTTACCACAGAACATGTGGGGGGACGCTATTTTAACGGCAAATAGTTTTCTTAATAAAATACCTCTTAAGAAAATGGAGGAGACATAATATGAACTATAGAAAGGCCATCCTCCATCCTACCAAGACTTGAAAGTGTGGGGGTGTTTGGCTAAGGTTGAGGTATCTAAACCTAAACAAGTGAAAATCGGTCCTAAAATGATAGATTGCATATTTATTGGATACGCCAATAATAGTAGTGCTTATCGATTTTTTGTACACAAATCCGAAATACAAAACATGCACGAAGGGACCATAATTGAATCAAGGAATGCAACATTCTTTGAAAATATTTTTCCTTGCAAAGATAAGGAAAATACAAATTCTAACAAGAGAACATATGAAACTACCAATGGAATTTCAAATGAGGAAGAACCAAGGTGTAGTAAAAGGACTAGAACTTCCAAGATGTTTGGGCCAAATTTTATAACCTATATGGTAGAGGATGATCTAAAGACTTTCGATGAAGCAATGTCTACTCCGGAAGCATCGCATTGGAAAAAAGCTATCAATAATGAGATAGTATAATGCAAAACCATACATGGGAGTTGGTTGATTTACCTCCCGGTAACAAGTGATGCAGCACCAGAAGGATGATTAATGGAGATAGAAGAAAGATTCAGAAAGAATGGGGAATTAAGGGAGGGGATAGAAGAAGAATTCAATAGAAGAAGGGGAGGGATGCGCCATAAGCCACCAAAATAATTATTCATTCATCATCAACTGAAAGTTACAATGCAAAATAAGTTTAAATAGTAAAGCAACCCTAACGAGCTTGGGTCCAAGTCCATACAAGTCCAAATTTAAATATTCCAAGAAAATAAATAAAACTTAAATAAAATAAGTAAACATCTTCCGATTTCCTCATCAATTCTTCCGGGGTGGGAGAAAAACTCGACCCTGTCGAGTTGATAGATAGTATAGGCTGCAGTCAATCTGATACTCCAAATGCTTCAAGTCAAGCCACGGGGGACGATCTTTCTGACGAACCAAGTAACGAAATTCCATAATTGATAATACTGAAAACTGTAGCT